CTTTCCTGCATACGAAAGTCATTACTGTAATAGACGATTTCAAAAAAGGTTCTTTAGTCAGATCTAAGGATTTCTATAATGTGTTTCACTAACAATCTATGCAACCAAGTTTCATGAACTTGGTTTTCGTAAACCAGAAAAGGATTCCTGTTACAAATGTGATACACTAAAAATAAAAATTCCTGTCCTGTTCAGCATTTATATCAATCACTTATTTCATATTCAGTCAAGCGGAGAAATTGTGTTTTGCGGATGACTCCGTTATTATTTACAAAAGTGACACTTGGGTTGCTCTCAAAGAAAAGATGGACACCGATGTGACTAAAATATTTCAGTGGTTTGCGAATCAAAGGCTAACCATAAACATGGACAAAAGTTTTTTCATGCCTTTTGGCTGTTATTCTGATTCGCTGCCCTCATTCAAGGAACTGGACATTAATGCTAATAACTTAATTATAGAAGTAAATTATACAAATTAAAAAACATCTAAAATAAAATATCTCGGAATAATAATAGATCCTCATTTAAAATGGGATAAACATATTCAATTTGTTACCGATAAACTGGGTGCATTCATAAATAAATTTAAGGAACTCACAATTTTTTTTTACGTAAAATATGTACAAATTTTATATTCAGCTCTCATACAACCGCATCTTACCTACGGTATAACAGCCTGGGGTGGAGTTTTGGAAACTCATTTGCATTATTACTACTATTATCACTACCACTACCACTCCCATTCCCACTCCAACTGGCACTGCCACTGCCACTACCACTACCACCATCACTACTACTATCACTACCACTACTACTACTTCTACTACTCTTACGTTATTGGGCAATTCAAAAGAGACTACTGAAGTAGTATACCTCACTACCTCAGTAAAAATTGGTAGAATGACAACAAGTGAACGTACCGTATTCAGGCTTTGCCCCCTGGGGTCTATGAGAGATTAATGAAAAAATGAGGAAATGTATAAGATTCTGGTAGGCCTGATCAAATTGGGAACGAATAAAATAAGGATGAAAATATCCGACCGATATGAAATAATAAGCCTGCATGTGCCGAAACAAGAAATCAACAGGAGCGCGGTTAAGACTACAAAGAAGACTAATCAAGACAAAGACACAGATGTCCTAATTGTTAAGGCAGGAAACAAAACATATGCTGAGCTGCTGTGGAAAATTAAGACAAATATTAGCCCTAAGGAACTAAATATTGAAATAAAGCAAGTAAAAGAGACTAAAAATGGTGAAGTTTTATTAATTATGAAAAGCAACAAGGCGAATACCGAGTTATTACGTACGCAAATAGAAGCTAAAATCACGAACGCCGAAGCTCCAACTGCAAGAGAACCGAAGATGATATTTCATTTATAGACGCGGGAACTAGTACTGAAGAACTAAAAATGGCACTGCAGACCTACACCGAGGGAATCGAAGGGGATATAGTTATAATATGAGACCATATTCTAGAGTCTCTCAGGCTGCAACAGTAGCAGTGAACCCAAAGGTTTCAGAAATCCAAAAAAAGCGGATAGGATCAAGATCGGATGGAGCTCTTGTAATATCAAGGAGCGCAAGCCAGTCCTGCAGTGTTATAAATGCCTTCAACATGGACATTTTATCAAAACGTGCAAAGAGCCAAATCGTGCGAAATTGTGCTACAGATGGACACAAAGCTATAGGATGCAAAAATAAGCAAACATGCTATGATTGTTGAGGAGAGGGACACCGAACAGGGAACATGAAATGCCCTGTCTACGACAACCTTTTAAAGCAGACAAGACAAAACTAACAAAATGATGCAACACCTAACACAACTAACGATGACAGACAGAAGAAGGGGGGAACATTACTATGGCCAATACCAGGACATTAAGATTCTGCAAGGAAACGTAGACAGAGGCTCAAAGGCGGTGGATATGTTATATAAGATGGCAGAAGCACATGGGGCGGACATTGTCCTGGTAGCAGAGCCAAACCGGAAGAAGTTGAAAGGTTGTAAATGAATTTACAATCAAAATATGAATGTAGCGATTTATGTCCCAGGAGGCCAGATCAAGATCTTACAAAAGAGAGCAGGGGTCGGTTTCGTATGGGTGGAAACACCACCTTTTATAATCTATAGCAGCTACATATCACCAAACGTAGACATCGCCACGTTTAAGAATTTTCTGCATAATCTCAGGGAAGATATCAAAAAACAAAAGAAAGAGATGGTCATTAGAATAGAATTCAACGCTAAATATTTCCTGAGGAGCCCTAAACCAGAAGATAGGAGAGGGGAGTTGCTATTAGAATGGTTGGCTGAAGAGAACCTCATTATACACACTAGAGGAAGTGTACTAACCAACATGTTATATATTGGACAGTCATTGAAGAAGAAAACCTAAGACTCCATCAGCATATCAGCATATACGATCACTGGAACCAACGAGACCGAGCTACAGAAACCCAATACAGCCAAGCGCTGCGAAGGCTCACGGATTTATCTCTGGAAGTAGGCAGACAACTTAGAAATGACAATCTAAGAACAGCATATGCGTGCAATAAGACCTGTGTACTGGTGGACAGCAGAAGTAGAAGCGAGAAAAAAATGCATTGAAAGTAAGAGAAAGACGGTTCGAGCCACCAAACGTAGCGATGAACCAAGTTAGAGATTATGCCATGATCATTATCAAGCAGATAGAGACCAACTCAAAAGAGCAATTTCTGAGGCAAAAAAAGCTGCATGGAAGAAAGTTATCAAGGAAGTAGAAAGGAACATATGGTGAAGAGGGTACAAAATTGCTACCAACAAAATAAAATATCCACCATTAAATATGTCAGATGAAAAGATGAAGATCACAATTCAAGCTAGGGACATACCTCTGTTTACAATCCAAGAACTAAGAACTGCAGTGGGAAAAATAAAGGACAGCAAAGCCCTTGGACCGAACAACCTCCCTGCTGAAATTATAAAGACAATTGTGAAGGATTATATTGAGGAGTGCACAGACCTCATGAACAAAATACTACTAAAGGAAGAATTAAAGAATTAAAGATAGGCGACGTAAAACAGACACCGTGGGGAAGGAGGAAACTATGTGCTCTCATCACGGTAGACGTCGAAAACGCCTTCAACACGGCACAATGGTGTGGTTTATTGAAAGAGCTTCGAAATCGAAACATAGCCCCTTATCTGTATAACATGATAGCAAGCTACTTCGAAGATAGGCGTTTAAGCATAGATGAGGCAGCTCAAATTAAAGTCACATGCGGGATCCCGCAGGGATCAGTAAGAGGTCCAACTCTATGCAACGTGTATTATAACAGTATTCCGAATTTCCGTTCCCAATGATATTACCCTTGTCGGATATGCTGATGATCTGGCTATCTTAGCATAAGTAAAAGGAGTCGAGATGATAAAAACAGTAGCCAAGCATGCCCTTCACGATGTTACGGAATGCATGAAATCTAAATACCTGATAGTGGTCCCCCAAAAGTCGGAGGCAGTCCTACTTGTTGTTATAAGAAAGCTTAAAAGCAGATATCTAGGTATAAAACTAGATAGGAACATGTCCATGCGGGGCCCACATCAGAGCCGTAACAGAAAAAGCCAATAAGGCCTTGAACAATATCAGTCGCCTTTTACCAAAAGTGAATGAACGTCGCGAAAACACCAGGAGGATATTATGCTCCGTACGCTACTATATGGTGCCTCAATATGGGAGCAAGTAATTGAGAAGAAAGTCTATAAAAGGATACTGAGTAGCGTTCAAAGGAGGGTAACCATAAGAGTCTCCGAAGCATAGAAAAAGATGGACCAGAGGCTAAAAAAGAAGCACAAAACACGATGATGTTATGCTGGCAAGTAGAATAGGACAGAGATGATGGTACAGGGGAATGGAGCAAAAACCTAATTCCAAATATTGGTTCGAGAGACGACACGGTGAAGTAGATTTCTTTCTGACACAAATACCGGGCACGGTTGCTTTGAAGCTTACTTCAAACGTTTTACGTGGATACTGTTGAACACACTCTATTTTTCTGCCTAAGATGGAACATGCAGCGAAATATAGCGGAGCAAATACTCGGTCACATAAGCCCAGACAATCTAGTTGAAAAAATGCTAGAGTCGCCTACAAATTAGGGCCATATCTGGAAAATGACAAAGCAAATACTCTCTGCCAAAAGAATAGAACGGTCAAATCTTATACTCGCTGAACTTCAGTCAATCGAAGACCCTCTTCTTGAAGTAATGCCCGTCAGCAGTTCAATGAAGACGAAAGGGTAAAAGAGGGAAGGGTGTAGTCGAAGCACCAACACGACACCATCCGGGCAAACAAAATCTTCTATTAAAAAAACAATACTACTACTACCACTACTCGCCAACGGCTCCCCATTTTGTGTGTGATAAAACTTTCAGGATATTTTGTGATCGTTTACACTCTGGTTTCTTAATTTGCTTTTGCCAAATAAGTAAGCTATCAAAAACAAGTCCTAAAAATTTTATATGATATATGATATGATGATGATATTTTCTTCAAAGTAGAGTACTGGATCATAATGAGGTTTTATCGTTATTGTTATTATTATTATTATTGTTATTATTATTATTGTTATTATTATTATTGTTATTATTATTATTATTATTATTATTATTATTATTATTATTATTATTATTATTATTATTATTATTAATTATTATTATTATTATAAATATAATAATAATAATTATTATTATTATTTATCTCGGACATACTGTATTAAGCCGTAAAAAATTGAAATGGTTGCGTTAAACAGTTTTAACGTCACGGGGTGTTCTCAGTTTAGCGCGTCGCCCGATATAGCGTCGACTACGGATTTTCCACAAATTTCCATTCACTAAACGTTCAAGAACAATCTAAATTTTCCCGCTTGGAACAACAATACGGCAATATACTTCCGCCGTGGCGGACGCAAAAGAAAATTAATTTTAGACGTTCGAGCGGTAGTCAGTCTTTGGCAAGTGAGCATAGCGTTCATATCGCCGCACACAATAACACGTATATATTTTAAAAGTCGGCGCGAATCACCAGTGCACGCACGCATGATGGCCGACGGTGACGAAACGATGGCCGAAACGGTGGAGGAGACTTACGAGACGGAGGTCCGGCGGAAGATCGTCAAGACCAAATTCAAAATCGAAGAAGTAAGTCGCCGATTTTATGTAACGTGGGCTTTTCGGGCGGAAAAAAACGCGCGGCGAGCGTACTGACGGGTGCCGAAAACATGTGACGTTCGAATTTTGAGCGCCAAGGTTTGGTCCCGGTATGCGGGTTAAAAAATAATAGTCGATTTCGGGCGACTAAACCGATTACGTCATAGTTAACCGAACTAATATTCGGAAAAATATTCTTCGGCCTTACCCATACATCGACTTGGGCAAAAAAAATACTGATTTTGAACATATCAAACAATCGTCAAGAACGTTGACATTTGTCGCAAACTTACTAGTATGCTTATCATTATTTAAATACCAATAACGTCTCAAAAAAAGCACGTTTTTACTTATTTTTACTGGTCTGTTTTAACAATAATTTTCCATTCCGAAAAATTATTCAAAATATTGAGTGTAGAACTTTGCGTAAGTAGGCTTTGAATGGAGCGTTCATAATACCGGAAATATGCTTAAGTTTATAAAAGTCTAGAAGATCTCTTAAAGACATTTTCAAATGACTGCGACGTAATCTAATTAATAGTAACCAGGTTCAGAAGAAGTGGCCAAAAAACTACGCATCAATTTCTTGTGAGTCTTAAGAAATAATTGTTATAAAATAATTCTATCGCGTCAACACGAATATTTCGGGCCACTATACCGATTACGTCATAGCTAAGCGAACTAAGAAAAATATTACTAGGCCTTACTCATGCATTGACTTAAGTAAAACTTTATTTTTATTGTCTAATTTTCCATTTGCGAATTCTAATTTAAATGCCGTTAGCTATTTTTGACCGAATTTGTGTGTGCAGATCGGCACAAAGCATTTGATTTTATAGACTTATAGGTTTAAAGTCAAAATCAACGAAGATGACTCTTAACACTTAACAATATAACTTTATGAGATACTAGATGTCGCACGGAGAAAATCTAAATGAAAAAAATGTTCAAGAAGTAACTGTCGAACCTGTAATAGATAGAACGCCAATTCCTTTAGCAAGTCTAGTAATTGCAGATGAATGTTTCATTTTCCAATTTGTATTGACAATTTGTTTAAAAACTGTAGGAAATGCAAAAGATAACCATAATGTTAGAGAATCGCACAGCAATTAGTTTTTCATTCAGCAAACAAATATCGTCATATCTCTAGTTTCTAGTTTGTGGATTTTGCTTGTACAAGTGAACCTATGAGCGGTGAAAACCTTTTCGCTTAAAGTTTAGCCATTTGACGCTAACCAAGGCTGAAAAGTATGGTTTATTGTATCAAAATAAAAAAAAATTGCATCGTGTATACCATAAAAAATACCGGTTAAACATACGTGTATTTTTAACAGCAACTTTAAAACAATTCTCAAATGGCTTCTTATTTATTTTAGTTGTTTATTCTTGATTCATTGAAAAGTATTTGAAATACCATTTACAAAAATATAGCGTACTTGATATTTTGCTAAATAAACGGAATATTGCAGTTTGCTTTATCAAAACCTAGAAGAATGCAGATGCAGCAAGCAATTTGTGCTACGGTACTAATACCCAGGTAGAAAATACTTTCTATACATTTTAGAAAGATTTCGACTACAAAGTTTGAGAAGATGTGGACAAAAAACTGCACATCAACTCCCTATGAGTAACAAGAAATAATGGTTTTAAAAGCCCTTAAAAAATAATCCTACAACGTCAACATGAAATTTTTGGACGATCTTGGAAACACTCGCGCGTTACTCATGCACTGACTTGAGTAAAAATGTGTTTACATCGTCTGATTCTCCATTTGCGAATACTGAATTTAAACATCTACCAAGCTAGCAATTGCCAAATAGATTTGGTTTTTACGTTCAGACCATTTAATTTTGTCGTAATCTTATTCGTATGTTTATAATTATTTAAATCCTAATGCATTTCACTTACAATCACTAAACAACAGAAAAACTATTAACGCCATTGCTGTAGTACAGGCAAAAAAAACTACATTAAATGACAATAAAAATACTGTCAGAAATACTTTCGGTGGACTTTGCTGTGGACCATATTAAGCGAGTTGTCCAATTCATTATCGTGGAATAAAGTGGAAAATGTAAATGGAAAAATAGAAGAAAGATTTTGGGAAGCTGATAACATGCTAGAAAATATTGTAGAGCCCCTTATTATTTCTCTGGATTCCAACGATTATAGTTCATCTGACTACTGGGAAGCATTTTAACATCCTTTACCTAGACCTACGGCTACGGCTACGGTGATGATTCTCATGCTTTTGAAACTACCGGATATCTTAGATATGTCACCAGCAAGAAACCAAACTAATTTGGCTATCTTTAGCAGGCACATCAAAACAAAAATTATCCAAAACTAACTGTAACTGGTCAATACATATCTGTATCACTCAGACACTTTCAAATACAAACATTCATCTCTATTAGATAATAAACTGTGAGACTGGCGGGCAATTGATTTAAAATTGGGACCAACAATGAAAAAAAGGATGTTAAAATGCTACCTGTAACATGACTAAAATCTACAAATCGATGTATTATTAAATAGTAGATTTTAAAAATATATATTGATTACAATGTATCTATTTTCGTAGTACTCTTACCATTACATAATCATGTATAATTTGGATTATGATTATATTTACAACATAATTACAATATAATAACATAAAATTATACAAAACATTGATTTATATTAAGCAGTAAAAACGTTTAAAATTATGATTGATTACATAACAAAGTTAACAGACAAATTTGATTATTGCTACGAAAGGAGTGAAACTGTTAAGTATCTTGTTTTTATAGATAGATATAGATAGTCATTACATATTTTTTGAACCCAACTCACTGATCTTCGTAACAACAATTTACAACAAAAACAAAACTAAGCAAAAGTAGGAGAAGAATGATTTATTTTAAAATAATTTTTAAATACAGTTTTAGGGAAAATCAATATGACTTCATAATAATATTTACAGAGCCCTTCACATAATTCTCATAATTCCTGTAAGTAGCACTTCATAATTTTTTGCTTAGAAATTAGTCAAAACTTAACTGAGAAAATCTTTAGATAGCAAGAACTTAATTTATTTTGCAATACGATTAATTGAAAAAAAATATTTAAAGAAATTAATACAAATTATATTATTCGGTAGCAAGAAAATGACATTCTTGATAAAATTAATTATTTCTATTTATTTTTGTTTTCTTGACTTTTGATATTTTGATCTTGCGTATTAGGTATACATAATATTTTATAAAAATAAAATTTGTTTTTTTTTATTATACTGCTGTTCGTTTTTTAACAATAAAGAAGGGCAAAAGCCGTCACATTTTCCTTTCCTAATCTAATATGTACACAGCCCTCTACATATTTCTTATAATTGAGTAGCACTTCATCATTTTCTGCTTTGAAATTAGTCAAAACTTAACGGAAAAAATCTTTAGATAGCAATAACTTAATTTATTTTGCCATACGATTAATTGAAAAAAAATATTAAAAAAAATAATGCAGATTCTATTATTCCGTACCAAGAAAATGGTATTCTTGAAAAAAATAACTATTTGTATATATTTTTGTTTTCTTGACTTTTAATATTTTGATATTGCGTATTAGGTATACATTACATTTTATAAAAATAAAATTTGATTTTTTTTATTATGCTGTTGTTTGTTTTTCAACAATAAAAAAAGAGGCAAAAGCCGTCACATTTTTTTTCCTAATATGTACACAGCTCTTTCAATATTTCTCATAATTCCTGTGAGTAGCACTTCATCATTTTCTGCTTTGAAATTAGTCAAAACTTAACTGAGGAAATCTTTAGATAGCAATAACTTAATTTATTTTGCAATACGATTAATTGAAAAAAAAATATTAAAAAAAAATTATAAAGATTATATTATTCCGTAGCAAGAAAATGGAATTCTTGATAAAAATAACTATTTGTATATATTTTGATTTCTTGACTTTTGATATTTTGTTTGTTTTTTAACTATAAGAAAAGAGACAAAAGCCGCCACGTTTTATTGCTCTCTCGTATTAAGAAATGAAATATAGCGGTTGATAATGACGCCACGTCTACGTCACCCATTACGTTTGATCTTACATTTGGGTAAGCCCAGTAAGTGTAATTAAGCTCGCCTGAAATCGCCCCAGGAAAATTGTATACACTGTTGAAAATAAGTTGATGCATGTTCGGTACACGTAAATCGGTAGCTGCCGGTTCAAAATAGCTACGGAGATGCGGGAGCGTTATGGCATCGTCGCGTAAAAAAAAATTGCCTTCGGATGCCGGGAGTTCGATGCTTTCGGTTGTGAGGTCATAGTTAAGTTTGTGAAGCGTGATCGACGTCTATCCAAAATAAATCAAACATTAAGGAAAACTCCCAATTGATTTAGGCAAGCTGAACATTGACTGAAATTGACTTAATTATTTGTAAAAATTTCCTAGTCGGAAACGGGTGATAATTTTAAAAGATGTTAGCGGCCTAGAAAATCAAGAAAAACTCAGATTAGCGTTTTCGCAAACAGGCGAAAAACAGAAAGAAGATATGCGGGATGCCAAATGTTCCCAAAAACAATTCATGAGTATGGAAATTAATTGCTCCTTGTTGATGACTTTGCTGTTATATGTGATACAATCTATTACTCTATACCTTATTTTTATAAATGCCATTGTTTGCGGTTTTTTTTGCTCTAGGTGTAGGTTCTTTAGAAATATAATTTTTTTCTCTCTTTTTTTTCTATTATTTAAGTAATGTAACGTCGAAAGTCGTTGCTATAAGTGTAGTACTTTAGAAGATAAAAGGCTAGTCAATCCGTTAATGGCATATTAATTGTGTGAAAATATTCCAAATATTATGCCGTTTATCATTTTGATATATATAATATATACTTTATTTACCATAAAAGCTATCAGAAAAAACAGTCTTATTTACTTTGTGAATGTGTCTGCCCACAACAAAATTTAAATATTCAAAAATTCAGCTAATACATGGTTT